TCCAGGGGGCCAGCCAGTCAGGGTCTATGTTAGTTTTCGGGAGTGTAGATTGTGTCCACCCCTGAGTTTTTGTTGGTCTTAAGATGTCCACATTGAGCTTGCCACGAGGCCGTGGGAGAAGGAACTTCCAGTGAAGCGTCACAGGCCTGATGGCTGAGCACTTGATTCGATGGCTGATAGCTGCCAGAATCTGTGGCAACTTGGCAACATCTTGATGTTGGTGTGGGTGTCGCTACAGCGATTGGTTCATCCGCTTTTGTCGCACCCGCCTAGACATCCATTTCACCATGTGCGCCCACGTCCGCTTCAACACCGGGAGCATTGCATCGCATTGACTTACTCAGACAACTTGCCATGAAACGAAGCATAGCACCTTGTGCAATGTTTGGTGACAGGGGCTAGCCTTGAGGCGCTTGAATTGTTGCTTTAGAGTTGAAGCCGTGCCGGATCGCAGTCCCATTGCTGTGGCTACTATGCTTCTTTACTTGTCAGGTTTGCTCCGCAACCAGACATGTGGAGAGATGCTCCATGATGGCGCTCGACGACATCTTTTTTGCTGAAGTGACCCCTAAGATTCTTGGTGTAATCCCTATAGAGCCAGAAGAGGTACCGGCCTTCTGTTTTCGTGAGCTTAGACTCCTTGGGGCCATTCTTTTCCCCACAAATCATGCTTGCTCACTTCACTTCGATGATGCTTGTCAGATACTTTGTTTGACTAGTTTGACTGCTTAGAAGGATGGCTACCGTAGATGGTGACCTTGCCACATCGCACCTGGTATTGCGTTCCAGCTAAGTACAGGTTGGATCAAACAGCTCTAGCTTTCAGGTTGGATCAGCCAAGTCAGAGCGCACATGCTACCGCCAGGTCAGCCAGTCGAAGCACGGCGAAGCCAAGTCTGGGCCTCCCGACTTCGATGAGTACTTCGATGCACGTTTCCAGCGGTTTGCAGGTGTTTGGGGCGAGCATGTTAGGGGCCAAGCTGCTTGTTGCGGGCCCTCGTGGACCCCCATGGGCCCATAAGGAAAACATCACGGAGAGCTACATAGTTGGGAAAGCACGTAAGGCTTGAGCAAGACTTGTTTAATTATAGTTGTCATGGGATGTCATAAATAAAGATTTCGGTATGAGACTTTCGCGTTGTTCTCCACCTGCACGCCCTGCCACCTTCCTATCGAGGGTGATGTGTTCGACACTTTTCTGGAGTCCAAGTGCCTTCTTGAAAGGTGGCAGTGGATCCCTAAGGACTTCCTACGGAGTGACTTCTTGTTGTCTTGGAGAAGTCCTTGCTGGAATAAAAGAACGGCTATAGTGCCAAAAGGGGCGATGAGGGACTGCTGAGAGGTGACGACGACATGGTGATGTTGTTCGGAGCAGGATTGCCCAGTTCGAGTCTCCTTCAGTGGCACGGTGGCAAGTTGATACATTCGGCACTGAGCTTGGAGTGCATCACTAAGTACGCTGCATTACTAGCTTGTGTGTGCGCTACAAAGCCAACTCGATAGCACTTTGCGCAGAACATGCGGCTGTCAAGAGAACTTTTTTTTTTGTTTCATTAAGCGGTCGCTTGATTCATGACCAGAATCCTGCAACATTCAACTTCCAACATAGTTCTTTGGAGTTGATTCTGTGAACAACTGCATGAAGCTGCATCGCAGCAGAGGGTCCTGACGAGCGAGGGACAAGCAACTTGGATCGTGAGTGATGGTGCGTGACTGTGAATTGGGTCGCTTGTCCGGAGAGCCTAGTCCTGCCAGGATTTCGGAAGGTGTGCTGCTTGAGAATGGCCATACTGCAGCCATGGCAGCCCTGTGCCAACATCAGGGCGCACCGCAAAGCTTGATGCAACACTTGATTGTGATCTTCCCGGGCTTGATGGATTTGCAGCTGGCCAGGGCAATGTTGCGATGTACACTTGCCGCAGTTGCCAAGGGCATGAAGCCGGTCCCACCACGAGCCGGGACCTTCGTGCTGAAGTCATTCCCGACCAAACCAGAATTCGCGTTCCTAGCATTTTGAGGGCGGCCACTCATGGCCTGATCGTGCAGCTGGAAGTGGTGTGTCAGGCACACCAAGAAAGCAATCACTCCCAGTGTTTGGAGCACTCAGCTGATGATGTATACAGCATATCACATCGTGCACTTTGAGATCAGTTGAGTTGGTGAATGGTCAACTTGCAAAACTTCGACATCGCAGTCATCAGCTCCTTTTGTGGCACTCTAGAAATGCTGCTGCGGTGCCAGTTTATGGCGCATGGTGTGTCCTGGTGTTCCATCCGGGTGTTCCCATGTGCCGTCTCTTAAGCTCATGTATTTTGAGAATGGCAGCAGAAGCCCAGATTGGGCAGATCAGCAGCAGTAGATCTCATTTCGGTTAGTGCTCACATGATGAAAACATCACAGGTGATTCCCAATCAGAGAAGCAATCACCTGTCAGTAATCACAGTGCTTTACCCTGCGTTTTGTTCCCAATCTTGACAGCAGAGAACAAAACGCAGGTTCTGCCATTACTTCATGGTGTAGGTAATACTTCTTGGGCACCTCTGATGCAATTGACATGGGTGTTTTCTGATCTCTCTTCTACGCAAGGTTGTTCGCGAAAGCTGACACATCATTGAAGTTGCAAAACTGACTGCTCAACGTCAGGTGTGGACGGATCTGGGAGATGTGATGAAAAAGCGCAGCGTGATGGAAGAAGAGATCGAATATGATCGAATTAGTTTCTGGCGAGCCGGGGTGGATGAAGTGAAGCTTGGATGAGCTCGGGATGAGATCCAGCTTGGAGGGAATAGGAAGATGGGATTGATTGCCGATCGGTGCCGATGGTGGTTTGCTACCTGCACAGGTCCATTGCCTCTCATGGGGGTTCCACAACGTCCGGAGCGCGCTGAGCTGCGCACACGGACCCTGCGAAAAGACCGTGTCTTTGACACGGCGGTGGGGACGCGAAACCCGCCGGAGGCATGGAGCGCTCGACCGAAGAGACACCGCCGAAATCAGGAGACCGGAATGTGTCAGAGCGAAGATGTTGAGCGAAGATGTTGTGCCATTTATGCCTACATTGGGGTGGTTTTGGGGTCAATGTAGGCATATATGGCAGTCCCATGGAGTGTCTGGGGTATATACAATGAAGCAAAAAAGAGGTCGCATCACACGATTCACAAGCTACCTGTAGGTCATTCGGGCCTTTCAAGACGGCTTGATAGCGCCTGCTGAGAAGAAATAAAGGCTACTTGTATTGCGTTCAGGCACGCACTTGAAAGTGTGTAAGGGATTAAGGGTATATAATATTATAGCTTCCTTCAGATTTGGTACACGCTCCCTTTAACTATTAGTGCTTCAAACTATGCCAAGAATCTCAAGAGGCAGAACAAGTGCTCAATAGTTTCTTGTAGCAGTGAGGCGGTATCGCATACTTACTGTGAGGTTTGGGAGTAGCTTCAGTTCCCAACGGTTCGGAACGCTCTTTGCCTGTTCGGATGGGTCATGGTTTTCTTTTTTGGGCATGAATTGCAAACAACCGAAGTAGCCAGTTCTGAGTGCTTGTGGCCCTTGTGGCTTCGCTCTCAAGTGAGGCCCTCGCACTCTGCCCCTTTCCGGCTCTCGATCCAGACTCCAGCTTTCGATGTGAAGACACGGTTTATATAGACCCCCAAATAGGAAAAAGGAATCCCCAAAACGGGACACCGTTTCTATCTAGGGACTATGGCGCCATGCCAAGCGATTTCTTTGTTTTCGAATTGACACCCGATCCCAAGCGACCGACCGTTGAGACCCGGTGCTGATCTTCTCAAGCGAAACGGCGCCGATCAAAACCCCACGCTTGAATACCTTGGGACATCTCCATTCAAGCTCAGGCGCTTGAACGCTGCAGAGCGAAGCAACGCCGCAAGTTGCATGACATCAAACCTCTTTGAGTCTTGAGGCGCTGATTTCGCCCAGAAAATCGGTGAACATGCAACATCTCGGCTGCTCGGCCTAAGTGTCTCCTATCTAGAGATTGGGGCACCTTCTCCCATTGGAACCTCACGTGCCGAGGTTTCGGATCAACAAGGCACTCAAGGTGTCGGAATGTCCGATGTTGTTGTGAACGTGCTTGGTACAAGTGACTGTCAGGTTCCTTCATTTGCTTTTCAGTTGTGCCATTCTTCACTACTACGAACTACCAAGTGCCTCTGAAGATGTTGAAGATTCTTGGGATGTTCGGATGTTCCCCTCCGCCGAGGGGGCTTTGCTGAAAGACAGCACAAGCATATGAGGTTCACGGAGCATGCCCGGCTGACATCACCACAATCGATCTGTTCCAAACACCAAGGACCAAGGACTTCTTGAAAATCACTAAATGACTTCCAGCTTCATTGCCGGGGTCTATGAATCAACGCATCGCGACCCATTGGCGCACCGTGGGACCGTGCTGCTTGGTCTCCTCAGCCTTCTTGGACCCGGTGCGGGGCGTGATCACGTCGGTGCAGGTGACGTATCCCGTTTGGGCTCCTGTCCCATATCCTCAGGTTCGGTGGTTAGACCCCCTGGCACCCACCCACCCCAACCATCTTCTCAGGAGGTGGGCCAGGAGCCCTAGGGTATATCACTGTTCATCCCAAGTCATCTGCAGAGTCATCACGTCGTGGCACCAGGCAGTCCATTCGGGTACGCCATGTCGTGTTTGGACGACATGACCAGAGATCGTTGCTTTTGGCCGTGGTCCAGCTCCGGAGCTCCTTGATAGAGGCGACGGCGAATCGGTGGGTTTCGGGCTAAAGGGTTCTGAATGGGCAAACACCCGCCAGATGTTCCTTTCAACATCTAGTCAAAGCTTTTGGACGTGCCAATCCTTGGCAGCTGCATGGGCCTAAATCGGCGCTACGTTTGATCCCAAATCGGTCAAGGCGCCATCAGTTAGGACTTCATGTTTCTTCTCTTCGTATGGTCCAACGGAGTCCAACGGGTCTGTACCCTGGTACTACCTGGTCGAAGTGTTGTTGTTCAACTG